CAAATTGAACACAAAAACATGTCAAAAAGATAGTGGACCACAATCAAGTGGGATTCATCCCAGGGATGCAAGGTTGGTTCAACATATGGAAATCAATAAATGTAATTCATCACATCAATAGACTTAAAGATAATAATCAATGATCATCTCAATAGATGCAGAAAAAGCATTTGATAAAATACAGCACCCCTTCATATTCTAAACATTAGAAAAATTAGGGACAACAGGAACATATCTCAACATCATAAAGGCTATTCACACTAAGTCCCAGGCTAACATCATTATAAATGGAGAGAAATTGAAGGCATTCCCTCTAAAAACTGGAACACTACAGGGATGCCCTCTTTCACCACTTCTGTTTAACATAGTTTTTGAAACTCTACCCAGAGCAATTAGAGAGATGAAAGAAATTAAAGAGATATGCATAGGAAAGGAAGAAATTAAATTAGCACTATTTGCTGACCATATGATTCTATACCTAGAAGAACCAACAAGTTCCACCAGAAAACTTCTAGAACTAGTAAATGAATTCAGCAAAGTAGCAGGATCTAAAATCAACACCCATAAATCAAAGGTATTTCTGTGTATCAGTGACAAATCATCTGAAAGGGAAATGAGGAAAACTACCCCATTTACAATAGCCTAAAAAAATTGTGAATCAATTAAAGAGGTGAAAGATCTGTACAATAAAAACACCAGAACCCTAACGAAAGAAATCAAAGAAGACCTTAGAAGGTGGAAAGATCTACCTTGCTCTTAGATAAGCAGAATTAATATCATAAAAATGACCATACTATCAAAAGCTTTATACAGATTTAATACAATTTTGATCAAAATTTCAATGGCATTTCTCATAGAAATAGAAAAAGCAATCATGAAATTCATCTGGAAAAATAAGAGACCCAGAAGAGCTAAAGCAATTCTTAGCAGGAAGAGTGAAGCAGGTGGCATCACTATACCAGACCTTGAACCATACTATAGAGCAGTAGTAACAAAAACAGCATGGTATTGGCACCAAAACAGACTGTGGTAGACCAATGGTATAGAATAGAGGACACAGAGACTAAGCCACAAAATTATAGTTATCTTATAAGATGCCAAAAACATACATGTAGAAAAGATAGCCTTTTCAACATATTGTGTTGGGAAAACTGGAAATCCACATGCAACAAAATAAAATTAAACCCCTATCTCTCACCATGCACAAAACTCAACTCAAAGTAGATCAAGGACTTAGAAATTAAACCAGAGACCCTGTGTCTAATAGAAGAAAATGTAGACCCTTAAAGAATGACCGGACAAGGATCATCTTCGGAGGAGTACCTGTTTATTGAGGAACAGCTTTGCACATTTATAGAGCCGGGGGCGGTTTAATGATTGGTAGGTAAGGATCATGAGGGTCAGTGGGGCTCACCATTGGGTGGCTCTTTTCGCCGCTGTCTGGGGGATGGGGAAATTAGTACTGGAAGAGAAGTGTGGTTGGTGCCATCTTTGGAGCTGGGGCGACCCCCAACAGGCCCCAGTCTTCATCATGTCAAATTAGGCCCCAACTTCTTTAATGCTGAGAGCCATATCGAGTCGGAATGACGCATGGAGTGGTTGAGAAGTGATGCCAGCAAGCCATTGAGATGATGATGGTTATATTAAGCTGTGTATTCAATTGTATATTAGACCCCTGCTGTCCACCTCAGGCACAGCTACTTTGGAGTTCTTGCACTACTTTGGAGTTCTCCTGGGGATTCCTGGGGAGTTCCCCTTGGTTGGGGAAGTGCGGGAGGAGGGATTTCCAGTTGGTGTGTGGTGTGTCCCGGGAGAAGGCCGCGTGCATGGCATTCTCGGGAGTTCAGAAATAGTTTGTTCCTGCTTGAGTGGCTCTCGTGATTTGTGCCCAGCCAGACTGCAGCACTTTAATAAGACTCCCGTAGCACAAGAATTAAATTCAAGCATCAATAAATGGGATGGATTCAAACTAAAATTTTCTTCCCAGAAAAAGAAACAATCTGTGAGGTGAATAGAGAGCCTACATGTTGGGAGCAAATTTTTACCTCTCCTACATCAGATAGTACACTAATCTCTAGGGTATATAAAGAACTCAAAAACCTTAACAGCAAAAACAAAACAAAACAACAACAACAACAAAAAAAAAACAAATAACCCAACCAATAAATGGGCCAAGGACCTGAACAGACACTTCTCAGAAGAGCATATAAAATTAATCAACAAACATATGAAAAAATGCTCATCATCTGTAGCAATTAGAGAAATGCAAATCAAAACTACTCTAAGATTTCATCTCATTCTTATCAGAATGGCAGCTATTATGAATGCAAACAACAATAAGTGTTGGCAAGTAAGTGGGGACAAAGGTAAACTTAAACATTGTTGGTAGGTCTGCAAATTGCTGCAGCCAATATGGAAAGCATGGAGATTCCTTGAAAAACTGGAAATGGAACCATCATTTGTTCCAACCATCCCTCTCCTTGGTCTATGCCCAAAGGACTTAAAAACACCATACTACAGGGACACAGCCTCAACAATGTTTATAGCAGCACAATTCACAATAGATAAACTGTGGAACCAACCTAGATGCCCTTCAGTGGATGAATGGATTAAAAAAATGTGGTGTGTGTGTGTGTGTGTGTGTGTGTGTGTATACACACACACACACACAAACACACACAATGGAATTTTACTCAGCAATAAAAGAGAATAAAATCATGGCATTTGCAGGTAAATGGATGGCGTTGGAGAATACCATGCTAAGCAAAGTAAGCCAATCCCAAGAAAGGCCAAATATTTTCTCTGATATGAGGAGGCTGATTCATTGTGACCTAGGGAGGGGGGGAGCATGGGAGGAATAGTTGAACTCTGTAGATAGGGCAGAGTAGTTCAAGAGGAAGGGAGGGTGCATGGGGTTAGAAATGATGGTGGAATGTGATGGACATCATTATCCAAAGTACATGTATGAATACACAAATTGGTGTGAATATACTTTTTATACAGCCAGAGATATGTAAAATTGTGCTCTTCATATATAATATGAATTGTAATGCATTCCACTGTCATATATAAAAAATTAATAAAATTTATAAAAATAAAAAAAAACCAGAAATTCATTGTCTTACCATCTCAACTGAATATCAAGTTCACTCATTTTAGAGGGAATATTGTGGATTATCAGATTATCAAATAAAAATACATTTTGGTAATTAAATCATTTAATTTGTTAATATAAAGAATTTTTGTATATTTATTACCATCTACTACTACAGACAATTGAAAACAATGGTTAGCAAGATTTGGAATCTGAATATAAAGGATGATAAATTGAATGTATGTTTACATTTTAGTTGTAATAGTGATTTTTAAAAAACAGAGGAAAGAGGAAAACTTGCAATTTAGTACTTTTGAGGAGTAGGAAACTCACATATTCTCCTTGATTCAACTTTCTCATCTTTTAAATGAGCACATGACAGTGTACATGGCATATTTAGTGTTATTATGGTAATTAAAAAAGTTAATGTAAAACACAACAAAGTGCTTAGTACGTACTATTCAGTAAATGCTATTAATGAGTTCGATTTGGACATGGTAGGTCTGTGTCTCCCATGCTAAAATTCTTTTTTTAAGAGAGAGAGAGAGAGAGAGAGAGAGAGAGAGAATTTTAGTATTTATTTTTTTAGTTTTCGGCGGACACAAAATCTTTGTTTGTATGTGGTGCTGATGATCGAACCCAGGCCTCACGCATGCCAGGCACGCCCGCTAATGCTTGAGCCACATCCCCAGTCCTCCCATGCTAAAATTCTTAAAGGAATGGGCGTCTAACTGAAATTCAGATAAATGGATCTTCAGATTATATCTAAAGTTTAAATTTTCAGTACTATATTTTGGCATTTACATTGATAACTGGTAATAACAAAAGAAGTGCAACCACTAATTCATACCAGAACAGTATTTCTTAACCTGGGTATTATTGTGCTTTGGGGCTGGTAAGACCTTTGTTGTTGCAGGGGTGACCTGGTTTATTCTATTAGCAACATCCCAAGAGATGCCCACTGTATGGTGACAACAAGACCTGTCTCCAGACTCTGCTGAATGTCTCCTTGGGGGCAAAGTCACTACTGGTTGAGAACCACTTGACCAGGGCATCCTGTGGGCTTCTTCAGATAGATACAGACATTTTATCAAATTGCAGATGGATTCACATTTACCCAGAAAACAGGGATGGCATCAAATGATAGAAATTAGGATGTTTATGGTTTGAATTCACTAAAAATGGAAAGCCTGACTTACAAGTCTGTAGCTTCTCAGTTATGCTGGATATTATAGGTGCTCAGACACTGTCAAGAGATGTACTGGGAATTTTCTCCCTGGAGGGAATTTGAACTAAACAAATTCTTAGATCTTTTTAATAGTAAGCTCCTATAACTTTGGCATGCCTATCCTTCCAGTTAAGCCATACTTGAAACCATGAGAATAATGAAGATTTCTGAGGCATGAAAGGAACATGGTTCTGTGATGTTAGTTTTAAGGGATGTCTGTAATTTAAAAAGAAGGAATCTGGTGTGTAACCTACCTTCATTGGTCCTATATTGGTTAAGAAAGGATGAAAGAAAAAAATAAGTATTCAGAAGAAAGTTGCAAAGAATGAATTGTTGGTATTGTCAATTTTGAAGTGATTCTATAAATAGAGAAAATACTAGTACATTTAATTTCTAGATGACCTTCAGTTGAAAAATATTCTTAGGAAAGTGCCCTCTAAAATGTTGAATATCATGTAAACAGTAAGCATTATTAGTATTGACATTTTTATTAATATTACAAGTCAGAAACAAGATGTCAAGGAACTAAGTAAGGAGTAGTATAAAGAAATACTTTTTTGAATTATTTACTAAGATAAAATGATTATTCTATATGTTTTAATCTTCCATGTATTTTTTTACTTAAGTATATATGTCAAATATATTTTGAGCAAAAATCATTTTTGCTTTATTTTCCAGTTGTTTTTTATCCTTGTTACTGGTTGCTGCTGTGGTGTGGAAGATCAAACAAACCTGTTGGGCTTCACGACGGAGAGAGGTATCAGTGTGTTATTAATCTTTGTTTTAAATCTTTGAGCAAAATCTCCATTGTTTTGTTATTATACTTCTTTCAAGTACAGATTTTTTTCAAATCAATTTTACTTATTAATATTGCACAATATAGTATTTTAAAGCTTCAGGCAAAACTACCCATGTCATTTTAAGTCAGTATGTGTAGAAGGTTTGGTTATTTGCAGTTTTATGATAGTATTAGAATTTAAGTGAATATATATATTAATTCATCTAGTTAAGTAATCTGTAATTTCTTTAGCTTAAGTATTTAGTTATGCTATACAAATATAATATATTTTTCACCAGTATCTCTCTTTTAAATTAAAAGAAAATTCAGCGTGGTCAATATTTTTGACTTTAGAAAAAAAATTTCTCTTAGAAATTTGTTATAGCATTGTTTTGTTTTATTTGTCTTTTTTTTCCCCTCTGGGTAATCAAATCTTTTCCACATCTTGATTAGCTGATAATCCAACTATGTTTAGAGAGCACATCAGTTTGATACATTTCTATATCAGAATTAATCCTGATATTCCTAATAATCCTAAAATTGATGAAAACAGTAATACTTTACGAAATAACAACAGATGAAATAAGTAAAAAATTTTAGCTTGTGTATGTAAATTAATTGTAAGAAACAAAGAAACAATCATCTGGGGGAAAATATCTAGTAGATTTATTGTTCTATACCTCATATAATGAAAAAGCACTTTCCTGTTTTTATTAGAATTTTTATTATGTTCTGTTATTATGAATACTAGCAGTCTACTATTAGTATTATTTGTATTTTATTTGTCATTGCCTTTCCTAGTATATTTCTATATGTATGGTTTTCCACATATATAAATATACTTTAGATATTTAACAGTTCAGAGTATTCTCATCAATAGAAGTAGCAAGCTATATGAATCCTTCTTAATTATCCTCCGATTTTCAATGGCACCCACCAAAACTCATGTATACTTCTATTTTGCAAACTTGAGGTCATTTTCCTTGAAATAGATTATTATTCTTTAGATTCTCTGCCTTGGTGGTTTTCCACCTGTAGTCAGTGCAACATCAATGATAATTTTTTTGATGAGGTCCTATGATAGAAAGTAATCCAATTGAAAAGGAGCTTTTTAAATATAAATACATGCATATTTGATAGTTGGTGAATTTGGGGGTGAAGCTTAAATTTTTTTTCTGGGTATTTTAATGATCTACTATGGCAAAAGTATAGATTTAGGAAGGAGAACTATAATTGTAATCAGGAAGTCAAAGGCCTTTTATAAAGAAATAGAGTTGGTAACCATTTATGTCCCTAAACATTAGAAAACAACTCAGGATTAATATGGAGTCTCTAATCCTACTATATTATGCTAAGCAATGTTTAGATTTATAATCTTTGAAATTTATAAAGTGAAGTTCTGTAAACACAGCACTGTCAAAAAGTAAACATGTTACTCTGCCATTAACTGGCATCTAATTATGAGTCAACAGTCTATTTGAATTTACTTAACCTCTGAAAAGAAAGACTTGTTCTATAAATATCTAATCCTCAGCATGGGATATTTAGAGCCCTTGAAATGCTCACTGTGTAATAACAATTAGTGAAGATTAGAAATAATATAATTATGTAATATTTGAAAAAGACTAATGCAGATCATTAATTTAGCTATCAAACTTTCACACTTCTCAAAATGACAAATTGATTTCAGTTAATATTGTATCGCCTCAGTATAGTAATACAATTTATTACGTATTAAGTAGGTGTTCTGGCAAACTAATATTACTTTAATTTTAGAAGTATGAAAATGAATTTATATTTTGGTTAGAAGTAAAAAGCTTTCAAAATATTTGGTGATCATGGGAAGGACAAGGAAAATATGGAAAGCAGATTAGGGATCACTATATCAGAACTAGTGTCTGCTTGTAAATATTACTATGTCCGCTGGATATTCCTTAGTATAATCCTATCTACCTAAAACTTATCTAATTAGTGCTTCTTTTTGTTTAAGAACACAGGGATATTTCCATTTAAATTTTTAACCTCTTATCAAGGCAGAAAATCTATGTTGTTGAGAGGTCATTATGCTACAATATATGTTAAAAATATTTTGAGGAGTTTTCTCTAACTTAATTTTGCTAAATAACATTAATTGAAAAATGCTAAATACCTTAGAAATCATTTATGTGTTATTTATGGAAGTAGAGATGACATAGTCTTTGTTGACTATCAGAGATGTATTATTAGATAATAATTTTTGTATTTTAAAAGATTATTTCTAGTTTTGTTCTTATGAGCTCCAGAGATTATTAACCTCACTGATTGACTAAAGATATGTTCTGAAGTGATACATTTTATATTGTTGAAAGACTATTTCTTATTTTAACTTTGTGAGTCACAAGATTTTTAAATACATGAATTAATGTGTAAAGGTAAAAATGTGTTTTTTAAAAACCTTCTTTTTTAATTTATCTATGAGAGTAATTATAATATTCCCAAAGGCAAAAGGGCCTAGTAGTTTTATTTGTGTGAGTATGTTACTCTTTGAGACATTAAGAGATCAGTAAGTATAAAACTCCAAAGACACCTATGATTGACAGAATTAGAATTTGTGATGGTAAATGAAAAATATTCATAAGATTTTTCCTTTTAGCATTTCTGTAATTTTGTTATAGTAGTTGTATTGTTTGCTTTTTAAATGCTGTTCAAGATGAAAATAATATTTGGAAAGTTTTTAAATATATTGTATTAATTTCACTAGGCATATTGCTTTTTAACTATTTAAAACTTTGGTTCCCTTAAACACAAATTTTTATGGTATAGTTTTAATACCTGAGACGTATTATTTTTGTTATTTTTTTGAGTAACACCCGTGAGAATTCAAGGGTTCTTGAAAACAAACAAAAAAACCACAGAGGACTTAAGTTTTGATATTATTCCTTCATATGGTAGCACCAAATTCATTTCTATGGTAACCTATTAAGAATGTGAAAACTTTCTTTTAGGTTGTGCTAAGAAATGAAAACAGTAAGTGGGTATTTGTCAGTGGAAATATTATAATATACTTAAAAAGATAAATTAATCATTAAAGCTTGTCTTTTTACAGTGGTATAGAAAACATATAGCTTAAATGATGTATTCAATTTAAAAATATTTGGAGCAAACATATATTAAAAGGAGTTTATTGAAATATTACCTTGATTAGTAGTCTTCATTTTTAACTGAAATTTGAATTTTTAATAGGCATCATAGGACATAAACAAGTCAAGATGTTGTAATTCTTCCTTGCAATGAAGATCTTTAATCATGTGCTTAACAAGGGTAAAAATATCATGAATATCTTAATAGTTAAAAGAAGTAATTTTTTTAGTCAAAAACATTTGTTCTATATGTTTGTAGGGGCTTAACTGTAGTATATCTCAGTTAATATCTAACTACAAAATCTATAAAGTAAAAGATCTATTGATAAAGGGAGAGGTTTTTTTTAATATGAATTTCATATTACTAGTGAGTCTGTGTTTGATCCCTACATTTCTTGTGCTAGTAATTTTCTCTTTTTTAATTCTTAAACTTGGGTTTTGAATGTTTTAAAAATACTTTAATTTACAATTTTATCACATTATTTAAAGCTATTTTAAGTACATTTTGTTTCTTTTATACTTAATATGAAAAATTGCCTGGAATTAGATAATGCCCTATAGCAATTGAACTTATCTTTATTATGCTCTGCTTTGCTTTAGATTTCATGCAGTATCAAACCTACATTTGGATTTTTCATTATCAACCTAAAGCATGAATTAGAATTAAACAAACTAAATCCTATAAGAAGGGTTCCAATACTTTGAGTACATAACAAAGTATTTTTCTAGAGGCAAGCACCTTAGTCCTTTCTTTATAGTTGTTTTAGTGGGCACAAAAAAAAAATAGATAGGAAGTAATGCTATTGTTTATCCCTGAATAATGACATCTCCTTGATAATTAATGATAAGATATTCTGTGAGTTGCTACATTTATTGTAATTGAATTTATAAATAAATATTACTAATGTGAAACAGCAATTTTATCAGTTCAGTAAGTTCACCTTCTTAGATACTCAACTTATTTACAGACAGAGAATTGGGAACATAGTGGATGGGACAAACTAAAATTAATAGACTAGGTAGATAGTGCAAACAACTTTTTGGTAGGATTTCTTAGTAGTAAAAAATCTATATTTCAAAAAAAATTTAGTAGCATGTAAAGAAAACAAAAATTAGTCATAATCATCCCAATATCTATAGTTCATATAAATTTAAACATTTTAGTAAATACAAATTTCATGAAAACATGCTTTTCCTTAATTATTAGTATAACACTCAAATAAGCATCTTTTCAGTTAATGACCTCATGACAATTTTCTTTTGCTCCTCATTTGCTTTTTATTGAATTGCAGACTAGTGATTACTATTGTATAAATATTTTCATTTTCAATTTATTATATAAGACTAGAAATTACAGGTGTTCAGCACATCTGTTTATATTGTCATAGTTTTTCAAATTAACCCAAATATGAAATAACTTAGATTGAAGAGTCAAATATATTTGGGAAGCATAGGATTTGAAAATTTACCAATTCTTGGTTTGTAAACCTTGTCTCAAAAATCTTATTTTTTAAAAATTTTTATTATTGGTTGTTCAAAACATTACAAAGCTCTTGACATATCATATTTCATACATTTGATTCAAGTGGGTTATGAACTCCCATTTTACCCCATATACAGATTGCAGAATCACATTGGTTACACATCCACTGTTTTACATATAAATGGAGTGATTCTCTTTTGCTTAATTTAAGGGAAGGTGTATTAATTTTTTGCTATATTCCAGACAGATTCATAAATGCTGAAGATATAAAGAAAAAAAACATGGACTCTGTTTTTAGGAAATTCATAACTTTAAAATATTTTTGGTAGAACAAACACACATACGTATCATGTGCACAGTGCTTAGTTGGACACCTG